TGAAGTTCATTTGAGTCGTTGGTGTCAGTCGTGATGCGTCTAGGGATACGGAGTTCTTGGAGGCATGGTAACTGGTCTCGATACTGTTGCCATATATTATGAGCATTGCTTGGAATGACATCATCCCAACCAATACCTGCTATCCACAGTACCTGCATCAAATGTTTGGTGAGAAATGTGACAGGAGATAAAAGACCAAGTGGATCGAAAATGCGTGCTATTTCCGACAGCACATTTCTCTTCGTAGGCTTGACATCTAAACATCAGATTGTGTAACGGAAGTGGTCATGTCTGGGATCCCAATGTAAGCCGAGCACTTTCAGTCCTGTTTCAGACTCATCATCAAAGCTAACTGAAGATAATGTGGAGCGTGCTTCTTCTGGAACAGCATTGACTACCTGAGGAGCGTTGCTGGCCCATTTTCGGAGTATGAAATGACCACTCGAGAGTAATTTTGTTAATTGATCTTGGATGTTTAGAGCTGATTTTATCGATTCTGCACCAGTAAGAATATCATCGACAAAGGTGTCGGAGTGTATAACTTGTGCTGCAATGGGATGTGTGAGTTTGCAAAGTGTAGCCAGATGTTGTAATGTTCGGATTGCTTGAAATGGAGCCGATGACGTTCCGTATGTCACAGTACGCAGACGATACTCTTCGATACTATTTTTTTGATTGAAACGCCATAAAATGCGTAGGTAATCTCAGTCTGCATCGCTAATGAGGATCTGACGATACATTTGTTTAATATCTGCCGTAAACAAGATTTTGTGTAAACGTGATCGCATCAGAATATGAGACAGGTCTGCTTGAAGTTTTTGACCTGTGTGCAAGCAATCATTCAGAGAGATGCCAGCAGAACTTTTTGCTGATGCGTCGAATACTACACGTAGCTTAGTTGTTTGACTATCAGGACGTAGTATGTAATGATGTGGAATGTAATAGTGGTGTGGCGTGGAGCGTTGCTGAATGGGAACGAGCTCCATGTGATTGCTGTCCAAATAGTCTTGCATAAAGTCGACGTATTTTGTTCGTAAATTGTTGTCTTTGGCTAATCTCACTTCGAGGTGTCGGAGACGATGAAGCGCTTGACTTTTTGAGTCACCAATAATTGGGTTAGGTGTTTTAAATGGTAACCCAATGCAGAACTGTCCAGATGGAGTTCGGGTGATGGACTTCGTAAAAATCTGTTCTGCTGGGTCAGTGTCATCAATTGTTGACAATGGTAGCGATGGTTCCTCGAGTTTCCAAAAGCGGGTTAGTGCGGATTCCAACTCAGTATTAGATTGAACAGTAAAGGTCGTAACGGTGGGTGCTGGTATTTGATCAGCTGGTCCCATGACTATCCAACCAAATATGGTATTAAACGCACTGGGTTGAGTGATTTGACCGGTCACTCGGTGGCCCGTCATGATGGATGGTACGATGTCTGCACCGAGTAAGACATCGATTGGACCAGGTGTGTTGTACGTTGGATCAGCGAGTCGTAGGTCCGTTAAGTGTTGCCATGTGTCTGACGACAAACGGAGATGTGGAAGTTGATCTACGATTTTCGGAACGACCATGGTGTTGACGGTCACAGTTGGTTCACTTGTGGAAACGGCAGATAGAGTGATCGTAACAATTCCGGAAACAATATTAATTGTTGACCCAGCGAAAGGACGTACTTGTGACGTACATCGTCGACGTTGTAGTGATAATTTGTCAGCGCAGCGTGCGGTGACAAAACTGGCTTCTGACCCGGTGTCGACGAGTGCGCGCAAAGTATGAGAAGATCCATCAGATGCCTTTGCTTTTAGTAACATTGTCGCTAACAGCACGGAATGACGTTGTGGATGGGAGACTAGGCACGTGGTTATCGTTGGTTCCAGAGTACTTGTTGATACTAGAGTACTTACGGTTGAAGTGCTAGTCGGTGCCGGTTTGGTGAAATGAAGCATCGAATGATGTTTCTGACCGCACGTACGGCAGGTAAACTTTGATTTGCAAAACGCGGTACTGTGGTTCGATAATAAACAATTGAGACATAGACGATGTTCTTTAACCATTTGATACCGTTCGCTAGACGTTTTACATATTTTACATATTTTGCATAAAAATCGAAATTATTCAATAAAAAGGTAAATAATTCTAATCAAACCGCTCTATTTCACTTGATGTTCAACTTATTGATCTAAATTTTTAAATTTATCCACAAAATGTTCAAATAGAAAATAGTTAACAATAAAATTTAGGATTTTTTAGGTTTTAAAAATGGGACTTTTGGCCAGCTAACTAACTATTGGAATCATCCCACTGTGCGGCGCCACGTAAACAACTGATCAAATAATATACTTTATCTGTATCCGACAAACCGGATCTACTGTCGACCAAAACGTTAAATCGATCTCGGAATGTGGCCCATTCATGGAATTTACCGTTAAAACGTGGTATCGGGATTTCAGGGAGACGGAAAACGGCTTTATTGACATCCTGCGCGACTGCCGAATCATCGTGGTTGTCTTTTGAGGCATCGTGCAACGACTTGGCCACTGCTTTGATTACGTTGATCACTGAACGCAACTCAGGAATATGATCCGGCGCGTAATCACCGATCTGATCTAACACGATTAGACAGTCAAGCACCTCGTTATCCTTTTGGTCAAACTGTGACCATAACGCGTCTATGCTGTGGGCACCTACCAAAAATTCGGGAACAAGCTCTGGTTCATTGATAACACCTAACGCTAATGCGTGTACCGCGCGAATCAACGCTACTATCGTAGAATACCGAGTAAGAGCGCTTTCAGACGAGACACTTTGTGGCCGGTTACTTGTGTCTAAAAAGAATCCCGCGACTAAGATAACATTGCTATAATGTGTTCCGTCCCTTCTAGCCGGTGGACACTGTGTCTGCGTCCGAGCCACTGATAACAAATTAAATTAAATTAGTACGTTCAGATGAAACACGCGGACTCCAGATTATTTAGATTTTTAAATTACGTAAAATTATTTTTTAATTAGTGAACACGTTATAATATAACGTATTACAGTATTTTTCGAAAACTTATATAGTTTTATGAAATATACGACACTGTGTTCAATATGAGTCTCGATATAAACAAATTTATAATAGAAATTGAGAAGCGTTGTAGCGAGCGTTGTGCAGGACACTACGATCGGTAACACATTAATTATTTAACGACATAGCACGTTGTATGTAATCTTGAGACGTGGATTGAGAGAGATAGGTAGGTGAATAAATTTAACACTGGTATATTAAACTTATAAACTTACTGTTTTTATTAATTTATCACAATAAATTAACAAACAGTTAAAAACACAAAAAATTAAAATAACAAGTTATTCTGGGCTAAGAATTATATACTCGCGGCGATGTGGCTGTAACAAAGTCCACGACGAGCAATAATTTATTTAACAGGGGAAATGATCAGTCTAACTACTTATCTACATCTGAATAATGCTAAATGCTCAACCCGTATTTATACAGGTTCCAATGACGTAAAAGTGGCCTAATTCTTATATTACTTTATTTTGCCCTCTATTTAGCATTATTATGTAAAAACGTGAAACTACTTGTTGTTTTCACCTTTACCCTGGTTTTCCTGCGTATATGCGAATTTAATATATTATCTATTTTATACATATACTATTTTAATCTATTAAATAATCATAATATTATTTTGATTATTAAATTTAGCTGGACCTTGGCGAATTTATTAATATGCGTAATAAGTTATTTTTGATTATTAAATATTGATTATTTAAATGCTGATTATAAAATACGCCTAGCCTTGGGCTTACTACACCCCTCCCCTCTAAGCTGAAAGTCTCTGACTTTCCCAATAAAAAAAAACAAAAAGAAAAAAATAAGATAATTGATAAAAAATAATTAGAATAATGACTAGCTAACCCCTTATGATTTAGTAACAGCTAAAAAATCATGCTTAGGTCTAATATACATACATTTTTTCTTATTTCCGGCTACACATGCTGAAAGTGGTATTAATTTATACAAACTTAATTCATGTAGAATTGTGGGATACAGCAAGTCCTAATTATGCAAATAAAATAATTAAACAAAACTCATGGTTTGAAATATGTCGACTATTCAATGAAGGATATGACTCAATGGCAACAAATCAACAAAAAGAAGTTTGTAAGCATTCATATAACACATTTATATTATATTTTAATAAAGTATATAATAAATAAGCAATACATACATAATATTATAATACTTTAATAGTTTAATTTATTTTTTACTTGACTATTTTACTT